TGTTGGAGTGCAAGGCAATCTTGGAAGGATGGGGACGGGACTGGGAGTGTGGTACAAGCTGAGGGAGTCAATTGGCAACACTGGGCGTCGATTCAGGAATGCAGGAGTAGTGCTGATGGGAGGGGGGAGGGGAGGGGCAGCATTCCCAGACACAGAGGTTTGTTCTGGTCCCTCCTGCTCCATGATGGCAGCCACCTCAACATCCATGATGGTGTCCTGCTTTGGGGAGTCCTCTTGCTCCAGGAAGACATCCTCCTCCTCCCACAACTCCTTCTCCTGCCGTTCCTGTTCCTGCTCCTGCTGCAGCTGCAGGGATTTCTGCAGCTGTTGCTGGACCTGCCGGCTATCCTGCTCCTGCAGTCGCTGCTGCTGCTGCTCCTTCCACCTCTGTTGCACTTCCTCCAGCTCCTACATCACCTGTTCCAGCTCTGCCTTTATCTCCTCCATCTCCGACACCACCTCCATGGGCTCATCCATCTCTCTGCTGAGGTCTTTGTGTTGCAATATCATGCTCTTCCTGTTGGCATCAGAACAAGCATGATCAAGAGGCACTGCAGCTACAGACTCGGATATGACATAGCGAAGGGAGGGTGATCATGCTTCCATTGTGATGTCACAAGCAGGAGAGGGGTAGTGGACATAGTGATGCTTTCATGAGGGCGAAGCCAAATGACTTTAGGTATGGTCATGCCTGTGATGGCTGTGGGGTGAGGGCAAGGCTGAGCAGCTTCAGCTATGGTATTGCCTTTGACAGCTGTAGGGAGAAGGTGACCTGGAGTACAGAGGATGATCTCTTCATCTGCGAGGAGCTGTGATCTCTCCCTCCGACACTGGTTTGGAGGTGAATATCTTGACCAGTTCGATTGTTGTGGAGACCAGTGATGGCGACCCACTGGGTGCATCTTCTTCTGCATCACAGAGCTTATGGGATTGTGAAGTCAAAGGGGAGGGTAGTTGAAGCTGTCTGGCAATAGGTAGGCTATCTCCCATAGTTGCCCATGAGGCCACCAACCTTGATCCAGAATGCAATTTGTGCTGAACTCAGATATTTGGTAGTTCTTTGTGGGAGAGGATGGGGAAAACAATGGCCAGGTAAATGGCTCAAGTTCGCATTTGGGAGAGGCAGAGGGGGCAGGTGCTCCAGGTCTGTTGTCCCAGTCATCATCAAGGACTTTTCGTCACCAAAGTGCCATGCCCAGCATGCCTTCCCATTTGCAAACAGCTACTGCCTGTGGAGAGGATGACCAGCATACTTGTCATTCGGCTGCCATCTGTTCCAGAATAGGGAACACTGTTAGCAGGTCAGGCAGGGCAGACTTGGCTTCCACATGGTGCTGGAAGGCATCATACATCATGGACAGTGCAGATGCTTGTCTCTCAGGCACCATGCAGGATTTGAGATAGATTATGTCTGCAAAGAGGTTAGTAGTGTTTACAGTCAGAAGGTAGATGTATGCACACCTTTCTGGAAGATGAACTCCCTGCAGTACATCTGCCAACAGAGAAGGACCTCTCATTGTTTGTACACAGTTAGGATATGGTCCTCCAATGCATTGTTGAAGTCCCCCTGCCATTGTCTTCTGGCATATGATGGTGGGCAACACTTCTTGAAAGTTGTGTTGAGCAAAGGCTTAGTTGGGTCTGGTCATGGGATTAGGTCAATGTCGAGCTGGGTGAGCAAATAGTTGAGGCTCTCTGGGATGACAAACCAGTCCACATTATCAGTGGTAGACATAGTCAAGGAAAGGTATTGGAGGTTCTTGTAGAGAGGGAGGGGGAGTGTGGTGAGTGAACACTGTAATCAGTAGTTCACTTGAGAGGGGTATGAAACTTGTTTTCTTCATGCATGTACAGCTACTTAGAGTGCCTGAGTAGTGCTTGCAGAGGACTCAGTTTGGGGAGGAGGGTAAGGAAGAGTGTTGTCTTGCATGCTAGTTGAAAACCTTGAAGCCAAGACACCCAGTACTGTGTGTGTGTCTGGCACCAGAGCTGTCCCTTGTGCAAGGTATGTGCTCTGGGAGGGGGGGAAAGGGGGAGGGGAGGGGAAGTGAAACAGCATTGATGTTGTCAAGGGAGGAGATGATGAGGAGAGTAGATGATGAGGAGAGGAGAGGAGAGGAGAGGAAAGCAGAGAGAGGATGACAAGGAGGAGGTGGTTGTGGTTGTGGTGGTGAGGATGAGGTGGTGGTGGCGAGGAGGTGGTGGTGAGAAAATGGTGACTCACAGGCCACAGGAGCAAAGATCATGTGATTACGGGAGCAAATTATCACATGCATGGGAGCAATAGGTGTGGCTTTTAGGACCAAAAAGCTGCATCACCTTTTACTTCCGTGTACACGTGATTTTTGCTCCCATGCACCCTCATGATCTTTGCTCCCATGGCCTGTGAGTCGCCATTTTCTCACCACCACCTCCTTGCCACCACCACCTCATTCTTGCCACCACCGCCACTACCTCCACCTCCTCCTCCTCATCATCGTCTCTCTCTTCTCCTCTCCTCTCCTCATCATCTCCTCATTGTCTCCTCCCTCAACAATGTCAAGGCTGTTTTGCTTCCCCCCCCCCC